TCTTCTTCTGGAATCCCAATTATTCTAATGTTGTTTCATCTTATGGTATCACCTATCTCTCCAATTCTCCCCTCGTGGTCCAGTAGTTGTTTGTCTCTCTTTTGCTCAGCTTCTTTATTCTCTGTCATTTGGTCTTCTATATCACTAATTCTCTCTTCTGTCTCATTTATCCTAGCAGTAAAAGCCTCCATTTTTGACTGCATCTCATTAATAGCTTTTTTGATTTCAGCTTGGTTAGATTTTAATTCTTTTATTTCTCCAGAAAGGGCTTTTATTTCTCCAGACAGGTTTCTCTAATATCTTCCATGCCTTTTTTTGAGCATGGCTAGCACCTTGAGAATCATCATTCTGAACTCTAGATCTGACATATTATCAATGTCTGTATTGATTAGGCCCTGGCCTTCGGTACTGCCTCTTGTTCTTGTCATTTTATCCATATAAGAATATATGAAGGAAAAAAAATATGAAGGAGAGAATAAAATACTAAAAGCATGGCAAAGATCCCAGGAAAATGTGCTTTAACCAGATCAGGAGAGACCCTAAATCCTGGGGGCAGGAAAGGGGGTAAAAAGCAGTTCAGAAAAAAAATAAATAAATAAAATAAAAAATATATATTAGAATGGTGAATAGAACAGAGTCATCCACTTAATTTTGGGATTATTTTGGTCTCTTAGAAGAAACTATGTCCCGAGATTTTAAAGAATGAAAAACATATATATACACACACACAGAAAATAAGGGTAAACACGATGAAGGGATGGAATAGGAGTATAAAGATGAAAACTTTTAAAAAAAAATTCTAAAAAAGGAGTTGATTAGATAAGTTAGTTGGGAGAATAAAGAAAAAGAAAGTGGAGCGAATCTGCTCAGGCTGGAGACTAGAACAAAGCCCTGTGCTAGCTTTAGGGTATATTTTGATCTATTAGAAGTTGTATCTCAATTTTTTTTTAGAAGAAAAAACCCTATGTGTATACAAAAAATAAAGTTAAGATACAATGAAGGATAAAATATGAGTATAATAATGAAGGTTCAAAAAGATCTTTTTTATGAAAGGATTGTTAAGATAAACTAGTTTAAAAACGTTAATAGAGGAAAGGGTGAAAGTTAAAAAAATTAGCATACGGAAAAAAATAAAATTAAAAAAATTAATTAACTTTGCAAGACTAAATAATCATGAGGACAAAGCCATGGATTCCATGCCTTGCTTTCTCCTCTGGAAATCTGCTGTTCTCCTTGATAAGTGAACTTGGTCTTAGCTAGATTTCTTGCTGATCATCTGGGGGAGGGGCCTGTTGTAGTGCTTCTCAAGTGTCTTTGCAGGAGGCAGAATTGCACCGCCCTTACCAGGGGCTAGGCTAAGTAATCTGCTCTGGTTCACTTTTGGGAGCTTTTGTTCCCTGAACGCCTTCTGTAGAGCTCTGTAGAATGGGAATGAAAATGGTGGCCTCCCAATCTCCAGTCCAGAGTAGTGGAGAGCTTGGAGCCCCACTCCTCAGTGCACCCTCGGAGAAAAGCATTCAATCACTCCCATCTCCCTGGCCTCTGGCCACACTCCGAGCTCACCCAGCCTGTGACCAAGCGTCTCTGTCTCTGGCACACAGCTCCGCCTGGAGTCTCCAAACCCAGCAGATCCCTGCCGCTCTTCTGGGGGGGGGGGTCTCCCTGGATCTTCTGGAGTCCCTGCTCAAAGAGCCGTGGCCTTACTGTGTCACGGATCACAGTTTAAGGTAACCCCAAGTTGAGAGCTCACTCCTCAGCTCCATCTCTATAGCCAGCTTCCTTGCTCTAATACCTGTGAGCTCTGTAACACTCAGACACCCCTGTTTCTTCTGTGACCCTATGGGACCTGAGACCACACCGTCCCCGAGTGGGCTTCAACCCGGCTTAGCCTCTGGAGCCATGTCCCTCAGTGGAGCAGACTTTTAAAAGTTCTGATTTTGTGCTCCGTTGCTCCCCTGCTTGCTGGGAGCCGGCCCCACCCCCTGCAGTCTATCTTTCTGTCGCTTTGGATTCACTCCTCCGCAGGTCCTACCTTTCAGAAAGTGGTCGATTTTCTGTTTCTAGAATTGCTACTCTTCTCTTTGATCTCCTTTTGGATTTGCAGGTGTTCGGTTTGATAAACTATCTAGCTGATCTCTTGCTACCTGATATCATCTCAGCCTGCTACTCCTCTGCCATCTTGACTCCTCCTTCGTACCTCTTCATTTCAATCCATCAAAAACACATGACTGATCTTCAGAAATCATAACTTTTATCACATTACTCCCTAAATCTAGTCTATTATGACTTAAATATCCCTCTAAGCAAGGTGAGAAGGTGATCAAACCAGTGTTTCTCAAACTTCATTCTGTATACGAATCACTTAGAAATCCTGCTAAAATGCAGACTTATCATTCAATAAGTTTGGGAGGGACCCAAAATTCTGTATTTCTAACAAACTCCCAAGTGATGCCAATGCTGCCGGTTCAGCAACCACACTTTACATAGCAGGAGTCTGAGGGTAGAAGAAGGGAGGCAAGAAGTACAATATCTTATACCAATTTGGCATTTCTAGTAATACAAAGCTCAAATTCTCCATTATAACATTCAGGTTACTTTAATGCAGTCCTACTCAAACTTTCTAGCCTTTAGTTCTTGCAGTTTACATAAATCCTCTGAACAATCAAAAAATTATTCAGTGATTGCACTAATGAGTGATTTCACTAATCGCTCAACAATGAGTGATCTCTCCTCTCTTCTTCCAGAGGACCCTTGGCAATATCTGGAGATATTCTAAGTTATCATCACTGAAAGACCCACCAGATGCTAGCAGCAGTCTTTCAGTGATGAGAACTTAGAATGTCTCCACAGACATTGCCAAACAGTGTACAATGGACAGGACAGCTCACTAGAGCAAAGAATTTCGGCCCCAAAATTTTAGCTGATGCTAAAAATAACTCTGCCTTAATGTATGTTGTTTTCTGCCTCCCTGCACTGGCTCATTTATTCTCCCTATACTTACTTACTTCTGCTTACCCCAAACGTATCCAGAATTCAACGACTGGTTCAACTGTTTTTCTATACAACTTTTGTAGACTACTAAGTTTTACCAATCCGTTCCTATACCCTACTTAAATAACACTCATGGTGTATGGCTGCTGTATACCAGGAATTCTTATAGGCCTTAGAGAGATAAAGTTAAATTTTAAAGTACAGAGTTGCAGTCCACCATGTGTTTATAATGTAGAAAACACACAACAAACAGTATGGTAACTGCTGCAATAGATAAGCTCAATAAAAAATGGCAAAAGAGCCAAAAAAAAGAAAGAAGAAAAAAAAAATCAAACTGCAAGTGGGTATATATTTCAACAATGGCTCTCTAAAGGGATGTGGTTTGATAAATAGCAGTTAAATATAAGAACTAGGAAGACAGGGAGAAAAAGAAAGCAATCCAAGAAGAAAGAAAAATACATGTAAAACAAAAACAGGTATTATCAGAACTGCAAATAGTTCATCATGATTTTTTGTGTTGTAAAGTGGAGAAAGAGATGAAATAGATGAAGCTAGATACATAGGTGTGGTAAACATCATGACTAGTCTTGTACAATAAATAGTCCTCAGTTTTAAAATCACTGAGTATTATATTAATTTAGGGGCAATTACTAGAATTTAAAGCAAAAAAACCCCTAACTCCAATGGGTTCCCTCTTCCACACACAAAACTACTGTTTTCTAGCCATTGAACTTTTTTTATGACCTTTTTTTACCCTGATGGCCTGCACTTGATTTTTCAGGTATTTTGCCTTCTTTTTTGTTTTGTTTGTTTCTGGACCTATTCTTTTCTTTTTTTTTTTTTTTTTTTTTGTAATGTTAACATTAGTCACCATACAGTACATCATTAGTTTTTGATTCAGTGTTCCAGGATTCATTGTTTGTGTATAACACCCAATGCTCCCTGCCTTCTAGTCAAAGTTTCTCAAAAGTATCTGTTTCATAAACGTGAGTTATATTTTCCCACAGGTGTTCAGGCAGTGTCATAAACATATGAAATTCTCAAATATTTAATTTTATTTCTATTTTTAAATAGTATCTCTCAACATGAAAAAATATCTGACAAGAGCTGGACAAAATGGGTTTCCTGCATGTCAGAGACCCTGAAATGATGCCTTTAAATATTAGGGGCAGTACACTTGTTTGCTGCTCTGGAAGCAGACACTAAGACCTAGTGAGGAGCACAAAGTGCTTTTTACGAGGGTGTAATACCCAGAAGGAAAGTGAAGAAGGAGGGTTGAGGAGGGGAGCTATCAGCAGATCCAACCAAGTCCCCAACAGACAAAGACTGCCTGTTAAAGGAATCCTACTTTGATTGGAAAATGCTAAGGTTGCTATTACTCCTTAATCTTTACTCTGGTATTCTAAAAATATAAGCCAGTATTTCCAAATTGGTATACCTTTCACTGCAAGTGGCTATCTTAACAATAATAAGCTCATTTTAAATTCCTCCATAAATTCTAAGTTATCAGAAAGGAAAAAGCAGAAGACTGCTCATTAGAAGCAACGGCCCAAGGATCAAACAGCTATGAAATCCACAGTGGCAGAAGTAAGATCTGATTTCAGAAACATGGAAATATAGCAATGGCTCTAAGACAACAGTCATTTAAATAAATGGACAAGCTTATTTAAAAATGGAAATTTAAAGTTTGAAATTTTGAGAAAGAATACTGAAAATGTCAAAAACACTCAGCATTTTAGTATTATATATAAAAACCAATCTTTCATGAAAAAAGTAAAATAACTAAGAACCACACAGCATTACACAGATAGGTAGGTAGATACAAAATTTTGTTTAAATTGACAGAGCAGAGAATCACAGATTTTTAAGAAAAAACTTGAAAAATCATATCTGAATTATTTCAAATCTAGGTTTATATACGTATATAGTTAATTATTTTAAAATCTTGAAAAAACTTTTATTATAATCCTTGCCAGTACCACCAAAATATACAATTCAAGCATACCTACCTAATACAGTTACAGTTGTAGAGGATTGAGCATTTCCAAGCGGGAATGTAACAGCTTTGCATATGTATTTTCCAGAATCAGAAAATCCTATGTTATGTAGAGTAATTGTCGCATCATTAAGTGAATAGTTTTTAAATAAGACTCTTCCCTGATATTCTCCTTGAACAGAGAATCCATACTGAGGATGATGAACTGCAACAGTCTGTGAACTTTTGCCATGGATCTTCTCCCATGAAATTTGTGTTATAGTTTCATTTACTTCAATTAAACACTTCAATGAAACATTCTTTCCCCATACTGCTGTAACATGTGGCTCCACAATAATTGGCCCAGCTAAGGCACCTATGGGGGAAAAAATAGTTCTTAAAATAGAAAAAAGTTATACTAACATATGATCATTCTCCCTCCCTGCTTGTTTCTCTCTGTCCCTCCCACTTACCCTTCTATAGATGCTCACCTGCATGTCCATGCACATTCACATACACACATACATTTATGACTAAATAACAGGAAGAGCTCAAAAGAGGTAGATGTTCCTGGGGCTGAATGTTAGACCCAAAGAGTGACTCTCAAATAAATCAAATACCTGTCAATATGTGTCCCAGTGGGAAAAGCACTAGATTAGATTGGGCCAAGAACAAGCTTGGAAGGAGATCATTCCCCAGTCAAGCCTCCAGATGAGATCCCAGCCCTGACACCTGACTGCAGTCTTGTGAAAGACTCTGAGGCATAGAACCCAGCTGAGTCATGCATGAATTTCTGATACAAAGAGAGATAATAAATGCATGTCGTTTTAAAGCCACTGAATTTTAGAGTAATTTATAATTTGTAATAGATCACTAATACATGCAGGATCTGTCAAACCAAATATATTACCAAAGTATCTTCTGGAGGATTCCTCTATCAAGATACTCTATTAAAAAACTTCATTTAAGATAGATCAACTACTAGAAAACATTAATTTAAAAAATTATGTAAATGTGAAATCAATTTTTTTCTATTTCATGGATGAAGAAAAATAATTCCTTAAGCAAAAGTTAAAATGAAATGACATCAAATTTCTCCCTTGTAATACTGACTTCTGTGGTCCAAATCGAAATTATTTTAGGATAAATAAGACCAATATTTATGAATACTAAAGTTAAGCAAGATGCTACTGATCGACAAGTATATTAGAATATACATATAAGCCCTTGGAGAATTTATGACTCATGTGTCCTGACAAAATAGATATTCAAATTCAGAAGTATAAACACTCAAACATGGAAACTATAAAAACAATACACTGTACAAATAGTATCTTTGAAATTTAAGGTCTTATTAATATTTTTAAATAAATACAAAAATGTAGAGAGTATCACTTAAAAAAATAACCAAGAAAAATGTGTTTAAACATGTTTAAAGAGTTCTAAACAACAACAAAACTTCACAAATTATTTCCACTAACCCTTTTTGGGAGGAAAATAACATAAATGATAAATAAAATATAAATAAAGAAATAAGCAAACTATGCCATCCAAATTGTAAATGAATTTTAAAAAATAAGTAAACAAACAAGAGAGTGAATTGTATCGTTTAGGAGATGACTGAAGATGTATTACGAAAAAGGAGAGACAATTCACAGTGAGTATACTTAACAGTTAAGGAAGAAAAGGGTTTTTTATCCATTGCCCCAAAAAAGTACCAAGTCCTCAAAATTTACGACTGTGTTCTATCATGCTTTCAAGTGTAGATAATTACTAAGCTTTTAAAATTAATCCAAGATATATAAATTTTATAAGTATTGCAATGTATTTTAGCAAGCTATCGTAAGTCTAGTACTAAACCAGAATATACATATAAAAGGACAATTTATGAATATTAAATTTTTCATATAATGTTATGAGATAATACCCAGCTTTTTGTTTAAAGAAAAAGACATAATGACGAAGTAGGAAATTCCAAGAATATAAAGAGAGTTTTAAACTATCACACTGAAAGCTCACATTGACTTCCTCATTTGAGGTTGAAAAGGTATTTTATAAAATTTAGCATTCATTATCTGAATTTTTTAAAAACTCTGAGAAAAAAGGATTTTTATAAATTTTTATTAACATATAATGTATAATATATAATCATTTATATATAAGTAATTTTATACATAAAATTTATATAAATATAAATTATAAATATATAAATATAAAAATTATTTCTATATAAAACACATAAAATAAATTTATATATAAATACAAATATGTAATATAATTTTTTAAAAAGATTTTATTTATTTATTTGACAGAGATCAGAAGTAGGCAGAGAGGCAGGCAGAGAGAGAGGAGAAAGCAGGCTCCCCACAGAGCAGAGAGCCCAACATGGGGCTCGATCCCAGGACCCTGGGATCATGACCTGAGCCGAAGGCAGAGGCTTTAACCCACTGAGCCACCCAGGTGCCCTGTAATATAATTTTTAATTAACATACAATGTAACATATATGCCCCAGGAGTACAGGTCTGTGAATCAGACCTGTACTAATGGTAAAGCATTAGAAAGGAACAGACAGAATTATTATTTGAAAAACCTGTTAACTGAAAAATCTAAGGCAGCCAAGTAAAGGGTGCATATAAAATATGGGTGCATATAAAACATGCAAAATATATTCAAAATATATAATCAACAGGATAGGTGATAATCTTTACAAATTTATTACAGAAAAAACAATATCTGTAAAACATTAATATTTCAAATGCCCATGAATAAAGTTGTGAAGAACTAATAAACCTGAGCAATTGACTTGAATAAATGTAAGATATGTCATATTCCTGTAGGAAAAATTAATGCTATTTAGACATCATATCTCCCCATTCCACACAAATTCAATGCAATTGCAATGAAATCTCTGATAAAAATTCTTGAAACAAGACTAGGGACAATAGCTAAGAAATATTTCTAAAACATCAATGGTCCAGTAGGAGGGAGGGGAAATGCTAAAGTAAAAATAATAAAAAGCTTACTATTAGTATCTGAAAACAATTTAAAGTACACAAACTGACCTATAAATTTATCAGTACTATTATATATATTGTACTGATATTCAACAATATTTTTCTATGAGCGGGGAAATAATGAATTAGTCAAGATGCTGAAAGGACAAGAGCTAATACTTGGAAATGGATCCCTGCTTCACACTAAACACACACACACGACTGAAGATAAAAATGTAAAAAACAGGCACACGTGCATGCACATATACCGACAATAACTTTGTATATTCTGACAAATAACACTAGTTATTCCTAGAGAGTGGGATACTGAGGATTTAGGAAAGAACTTTCAGTTTTTACTTTGTGTTTCTCTTTGATGTCAAAATGATTTATAAGTAATGTTCACAATAAAAGCAAATTAAAAACAAGAATAAGCAGAATTAAATTCTCCTCAGGTGGAAATGGAAAAGAGATAGGATAAGGTGTTATGGACTGAGTATTTGCACTTCCCCAAATTTTTTTATTGCAGCCCTAATCTCTAAAGTGATAATGTCTATAGATGGGGCCCTTGTGTGGTAATCAGATATATGAGGTTTTGAGGGTAGAGCCCCTATGGTGACATTATGGGTCATACAAGAAAAGGAAGAAAGACAAGCTCTCTCTCTTTCTACCATGTGAGGACAAAACAAGAAAGTGTCTGTTTTCAAGTCAAGAAGAGGGTCCTCACCAGGAATGGAATCTGCCCACACCTTGATCTTGGGACTTCTCAGTTTCCAAAACTGTGAAAAATAAGTATCTGTTGTTTAAGCCACCCAGTCCATAGTGCTTTGTTATAGCAAACTGATCACTAAGACATTAAGTATCAGAATAACCTGGGAGGGATTATGCTAAATCATATCTCCTTTCAACTGGTAAGAACTATGGCCTAGTGAGCCACCATTAATGAAGAGGACTATTTGGAGACAGGAAAAAGAAAAAAATGAATCCACTGACTCAAAAACGTATTTATAACATTTAAATATATTCTACAGTATTTAAATAGGGAAATCCACTCTCAGCATAAAAGGTAGAAAAGCCACCTAGAAGAGAGTTTAATAGATTTGACCAGAAAAATTGATCCCTTAATAAAGAGCATGAGTAGATTTAAGAAACTACAAATGGCTATTTTTAGTGCGTTTTTAATTTTACTCCTAAATATTAACAACTATCAAGTTTTTCTTTTTCATCTTTTGTTTTAATATCTAGGAGATAATGAGTAATTTTTACTTTCCAATTTTTCTACAAAATTATTCTGGGTAATTTTTGCAAAAGTAGACTTGGGCATAGTTTTCTATTGTTTCAATCCTTAAATCCCTGAAGAAGTTTTGATAATCTGGCTCTCCCTTAGGTTCCATGAGCTTCTAATAATGTATCTCCTTTTTTGCATTTTAGTCAGCCAAAATTAAGTATCTGTTCCCTGCAAATAAGTGTATACCTTTCCAATCCTAGACAAAACCCAAAAGTTAAAAACCACTTCTAAGTAAGATTTTCCCCCATGGAATCTTAAAACTTGGAGAAAGAGTTTCTCCACCCTGGTTCTTATCCAAAGTCACTATTCAAACGCCTCATTTCTCCAGGTCTCCCAAACACTGAGACTACCCCTACCCCTTTTCTTCCCCTCTTCCATATGGAGTTTGACAGGAGAGCAGAAGTGTATCCTGAGGAAACATAAATGTTTATTTCTAAAGACCTAAGTTATTTGAAGTAACTTTGTCATTAAGTATGATATAAGTCTAAAATATAAAGAGGCTAAGGAACAGCAAAGACTTGAACCTTTCATATCTGGCAAGACCCTATCTGACATTGTCAGAATGTATTCCTGGCTACTGTATACTCTAGAGACCAAAGAAAAACACATTATTTGTACCATTAACTGATTAATTGTCCTTTCAGACAGAAAGAAAACTAAGTGTTTCCCTCCTACCTGTAGCTCCCACGAAAACACTAGATCTATGAAAATAAAGCTGTCTGGATTTTTCATGTATATTTGAATTTATTTATTTAGAGCATACAGAGAACACAAATCATTTGGAAATATTCAAAAACAATTGTGACAGAAAAATAAAATGTAATGATTCATGTACTCTAACTTCTATGGGTTATTTAAAAACAAAAACAAACAAAATGACTTGACATTCATATTAGAGATCACATTAAAGTGCTAAAATCCAAGTATAAAGTGACAACAGTTCACTGCCTCTCCTTCTCCCACTCCCCCTACTTACAGTCTCTCTCTCACTGTCATCTGTCAAATAAATAAAATCTTAAAAAAAAAAATTTGCTAAGGGAAATTAAAGACCGAAATAAATGGAAAGATAAACTTTTCTCATAGGTTAAAAGACT